AAATAACTTTTTGTCACATGTCATATTCTCCTTCATTTGGACACATGACATTTTTTCTAGAATTTTTGAATTTTCTATTTTCCACTTGTCATTTTATTGTATTTTTCATTTTATTAAATTAAAATTCCACATTTAATATGTAAGGTATTTATTAGAAATAATTTATATATGTAATGTATTCAATACATTAAAGCCTCATTAATTTTAACAATTCAAAATTTTTCTCATTTTTCTTATAAATTCAAACTTTTTAAATTGTTAAAATTTCATATTTTTTTTTTAAATAAACTCACGTAATACATGGGTTCACACCTAGTGTGTGTGTGTGTGTATATATATATATATATATATATATATATATATATAAGAGTTCATTTGAGACGAACATAATTTTGTGACACCGTGACACCCAATTTTTTTAGTGAAATATTCTAATATTTTATTGTTCATAAAAATAAAATACGCAATATATTACAACATTATATGTTTTAGAATATTTTGATGTAAAATATGTTAAAATTACTGTTTTAGAATATTACATATATTTAATTTTTATAAATATTAGAATATTGGAATATTTCATTAGAAAAAAGTGGTCTCACGGTCTCTAAAAATTAAGCCGTCTCACATGAACCTAACCATATATATATATATATATATATATATATATATATATATATATATAGATCCAGTAATAAATTTTTTTTTGGTAGAAAGGTAAGAAGTTTTTTTTCTACATATTTTTTGACCAACAAAATAAATGAATCACTAGATGAATCAAAAATAACATTGATTCACAAAAAAAAATTCTCAAAAAAACATCTCGACGATTCATTTATACAATGATTTTGTTGTTATTCACTAAAATTGTCATAAAAATGAATTTTTTTTTAATTTACTTAAAAATGAATCATGAAGATGTTTTTTTGGGAATTTTTTTTGTGAATCATCTAATGATTCATTTTGTTTGTTCGCTTAAAAAATATGTAGAAAAAAAAAACTTCTTACCTTCCTACCAATATATATATATATATATATATATATATAGAGAGAGAGAGAGAGAGAGAGAGAGAGAGAGAGAGAGAGAAAGAGAGGATCAATAGCGAACTCTATTGAATGAGCGAACCAACGAACCAAGATGAGTCGATGCAAAATCATACCTTGAATCGATTGCCTTTTTGATGATTTTTTTCTATTCCTCTCAATTAATGGAAAGAACCAACAAATTAATTACCAAATTATTGTTCGATTACAGACACTGAAAACTTATTAATTTGAAATAAAAAAAAATTGGCTTAAGGGCTGAAAGGACCTGATAAGACTTCTTACATGCCCTAAACTCTGTTGGAGTATGATGAGATTGTGTGTCTTGAAGTATAAGATATCATTGTTAAAAGTTCAAAAAAGACAAAATGGTAAAAGTGTCCAAAAGGGTTAATGACCCTAATCTTGTATTATTAATTATTGAAATAGATTGGAATTGAAAAAAATGACCAATGTGATGTAACCGTCGAGGAAATTGAAAAAATTTGAGAAGTGAGTCAAGTGACAGGATGAAAATATAATGAGATGGCTCACGATGTGATTCCTATGACAAAATCTTTTTAAGTGGTAGATAATTGTAACATTCTAAAACTTTAGATTAGGTTCTTAAATTAATAAAGTAAATAAATGAAAATGATTTGTATAAATAAATCATCGTGGGTTAATCATATCATTAGTTGATATGAAGTTTAGAAAGTTAAAAGTGAGAAATAATAACATTTTTATAGGTTAATGGGCCAAAAGTGTAAATTGGCAAAGTGAGTTAACCAAAGGGCTGACTCAATTAATGGAAGGGGCTAAAAAGTTATATAATGGATGTAGGAGGGCATCTTATGTTAAAACTAACGAGTCATGAGGAGCACTGATGTGGTGATCAAGACCACCGAACTTATCCAACAAGTGCGGGAAAGGCTAAAGACTGCACAAAGTCAGCAGAAGGGTTATGCATATCGACAAAGATCGGATCTTAAATTCCTAGTAGGAGATCTAGCACTACTTAAGGTTTCACCATGGAAGGGTGTCATCAGGTTCCGGAAGAGGGGCAAGTTAGACCCTAGGTATATCAGACCGTTTCGAGTCATTGCTCGAGTGGGCAAGGTTGCCTTATTGTTTAGAATCGCCAGAAGAGCTCAGTCAGATCCACAACATCTTCCACATCTCCCAATTAAGGAAGTGAATTATGGATGAAAGTTGTAGATATCATCGAGAGCTTTTTGTGGGTATAAAGAACGTCAAAAACTGAGCTCGTATGAAGAAAATACGCAATTTTGAAAATTTGAAAAACAGTGTGCGCACACGCTAGGAGCACGACGCGCCCGAAAAGACCACGCAGCCCCACCGACTCTGTGCCACGTGTCAGGCCTTCATTTTGCCATGTCATCCTGTTCCGACCAAAGGTGCGGTGCGCCTGCCCACAATTCGTCCTTTAAATAGCAATCAGTCTATCCTGCTATTCTCTCACCTCTTCAACCGATTCTCTCGAGTTCCACCCTATTTTAGCCCATTTTTCCTTTGTTTCTGGCTTGTGGTGAAGCTCCGCAACACCCCCTGAGTGCTCAGGTAGTTGTAACCTTCTTTTAGAAGTTCCCAAGTTAGTATTCTGCCCGCTTAGATCCCAGTTCTCATCAATAGTACTATGTAAGTGAGCTACCCTTACTCTGCCTCCGTGTAATTTATAATTATAGTTGTAAATCGTTACTAGGAACCGATAATTAAGATATATCAGTAATTCCTAGTCGTTATACTGATTGATCTACTTACGGAAGAGGGGACTAGAATGGCCATGTTGGTTTGGTTGTTGGATTTTAGGAAGGCTATACGCCGAAATGGTCCTGTCTCCCAACTGTCCTCCCAACTGTCCTGCCTGGTTAATCCTTATTCGATATAACTATCGGTATTCATTGAGATTATTGATAGGTCTATCCTACTTTACCAAGATTATCATAAGAATTAATAAACTATAGTAATATATGTTAATTTTGGTTGAAGTGTTGGCTGTCAGCTAAATTGTCCGGTTAACTGTAAATCCTCTGAGAATTTGTCAAGGTGAGTTATTCTCACTATACTGTATACTCCAGTATGTATCCTCTGTATGTTAAGATATAGTTACCCTATATTAAGCACTTAGGCAATTAGACTAGGATAGTTAGTTGCCTGTTATGTGGACTGTTGTTATATGTGTATGTTATTATATATGGAGTTGAGGGCATACCAATTTGTGCTGAAGGCCAATAGACTCGGGCGGACTAACTTCATGTTAAAGGCCAAGGTACAAACCAACTATATGCTGAAGGCCGATAGGCGGACCAACTATATGTTGAAGGCCATTATGTGTATGCAACTATGCATCATATATGTGTTGTGGTATGAAATATTTTAAGGGAATTCACTAAGCCTCAACTTACATTTGTTGAATAACCGCTTTGCAGGTTGTTCATCAGATCGTGGAAAGGCTCACGCATGAATGTATTAGCATTGTTTCCGCTAAGATACTCTTTTTATATAATAATGAATTGTAAAGTTTTGTAAGACTTATATTTTAAATAAATAAAAATGAAAAATTTACCTTTGAGATTTAGGACGTAACAAATTTTGTTCTTTCCACTTTAGTATATACTTGGGGGTATTGCTAGACCCTAAGTATAAAAATGACAACTATTCAACATCGAAATTAGCCCTTAATGAAGAAAGAATGAAATGTGAAAAGAGAAATGTCTTTTAAATTATGTAATGACTAATGAGATGTTTTGATATGGAACATAATGTGGAAAATGTCTACTTGAAATATGTTTTACAATGATGAATTGTATTTGATGAAAATGTGATAAATGTTTTGGGTCATAAACTCGTGCATCTCACGAGAAATAATTGTCTTACATATCTCTTTTATGCCATGTATCCTAGGTTGTACTTAAGGAGAAAAGACGATAGGTGGAAGTTATAAGACAAGAGACAAAATGGAGTGGAACTTTTCAAGTTTCCTTTTAATGGTACTGATGTAATTCATATTTGTTTGCTATAGTTTGTATAATGCTTAATGGTAACACCCAATGTTTTATTCATAAATGTTTTGTGGGATTGATTTTTGTTAAATGTGGGTTAATACCCAAAATGATTTTGTTTAAACCATAACATTTAAAAGTTTGAAAGAGTTTTAAAAATTTGGGGTGATATAATTTATTTATTTTCTCTGATCAATATACATATTATAAATCATCTGAAAATGTTTTTTACAAGTAAAGAGGATCCCACATGGCCACTTAATACAACACCATGGCACGCCGCATTGACAGAAAGGGCGAAATTGAATAAATTACTTGGTTTTTTTGGGACTTTTTATTAAAAAAAATTAGAAATTAATCGTTAAATTTCCCAAAATTGTAGGATTTTTTCTGTTGATTTCCCAAACAAACAAACCATAAAATTAACCAATTATTCATCAAAATTCAAAGAGAAAAATACTAATATAGCCAAATTTCTTAATGAGTTTTCAGTTTTTAGCAAAAAATTAGCATTTGTCCAAAAATAGTCACCGAAACTGTAGGCCATTAAAATTGTCTACTATTTCGCCTAAATGGTCTACGATTTCATGTTAGGTATATATATATATATATATATATATATATATATATATATATATATTTTCATTTTTGCAAAACAAAACCGTAGACAACCCACGTAACAGTAGCCCATTGCCCGAAAGAGTAGTCAACGAAGGGTTGACCGTAGTCAACAAAGGATTGATCGTAGACGATCATAATCGTCTACAGTTTGGATGACTATTTTGAGATAATTGTTAATTATTATTAAAAATGGATAAGTCATTAAGAAAAATGGTTGGTTTAGTAATTTTCTTAAATTTAAACCCTAAAATTAACCAATTATTCATCAAATTACATGTAAGACCTTATGGAGTTGCCTATTGCACATCTAGACCTTATATTTTTGCTTAGTATCAAGCGATCAGCCGGTTACCCAGCAAAGGCAAGCGAAGCTTAAACCCTACCGCTCTTTCTAAAGGTCTACTGCCATATCTCCGGTAAGATTCTCCGTTTGTACAAGAAATCAGCCTTTCAATTTGCTTTATAGATTGAAATTGATTTCACCACCTCCATAATCATTCCTGCTCAATTAGGGCTTATATTGTATATTGTTGCTGCTGAATAGTTGCACCATTTGTAATTCCTTTTCATTCAACGCAACTGCTAGAACTCGTAATTTTATGTATCAGATAAGAAATTGTTAGTTTGCAAGTTGAATTGAAGACATCTTTTTTTCATTTTTGATCATTATGTTCAGGTAGATTGCAGTCGAGCTCGTAATGTCAGTTGCAAACTCATCGCCGCCATTGGAGATTTTAGGTAAGTTATTTTAAGCTCCTGAACATCCTGAATCATGAATTTGATGGACTTTCAATCGGCGTCATATATTCATTTCCAATTTAATTTCAGTTAGAGAACCGGAGGGTTTCGTTATATGGAACGGACCACCTTTCAGTAGTAATCAGCCCAGTATCAAGCTCGACAGAGTTCCTTGCACAAGTGCAAAATTCAGCGAAGATGGATCCAAACTCATGGTGATAAAATCCGAATCTTCAATTAGCATCTACGATTCCAAAACCTCAAAAGAGATAAGATCATTTGAATCCCCCAACATTCTTGCTGCCTCTCTATCTCCATGTGGAACTTACCTTCAGACCTTTCAGAAACTATCATCACCACAAGAAAAAAACGTCACATTGTGGAAAACAGAAACAGGAGAATCAGTTTACACTACGTCCCAGAAGAACATGACCAAAGCAACATGGTAAAAAAAGTAGTTTATCCTTCTGGTTTGATAATTGTATAAGCTGCAAACATCTTTACTTGAACTTGACTTATATCTTCTTCTTCAGGCCATCAATTAGATTTAGCTCTGATGAAACTGTTGCTTCTCGTATGGCTACAAATGAAATTCAATTCTTTGATGCTGGTGATTTTTCAAAAGGCATGGTGCATAAGATTAGAATTCCTGGAATAGCTGCAGCAGAGCTTTCTAAGCAACCTGGATCCCATGTTGCTGTATTTGTTCCAGAATCTAAGGTTTGTCATTATAATTCAATACTCACCTTGAATTCTTATTTCTTAGTATTCTTTTTTCAAGTGCTTCCATTTCCACTTAATTGTTAATACAAGGTCATTTATCTTGATCTGTAGGGAACACCTAGCAGTGTTCAGATATATTCATGTGCACAGGCTTCCCAAAGTGAACCAATAAGTAGAAGAACTTTCTTCAGGTGTTCAACAGTTCAACAACATTGGAACCATGGTTCTACAGGGCTTCTGGTTGTGGTTCAATCAGATGTTGATAAAACTAACCAGAGTTACTATGGAGAGTCAAAGTTGTATTATTTGACTTTAGATGGAACTCATAATGGGCTTGTGCCCTTACGTAAGTTTATCTTTTTTTCTACACTGAATGTAACATTTCATTTGATAATATATATATATATATATATATATATATATATATATATTATTTTAATAATTAATTATTATAATTTTTGCAGGAAAAGAAGGACCTGTACATGATGTTCAATGGTCATATTCAGGGAAAGAATTTGCAGTTGTTTATGGATGTATCCTTTTTTATTTTACAATTTTTGATCAAGGGATGACATGGCATACAAATTGACATGGTCTATTGTCATTTTTTCCATGTGGTGCTGACATGGCGTCCTTGTCCATGTGGACTGTCTATTAATTTATAATTTATAATATGGAAAAGGTAAAACTAAATAAAACAGTTCATATGGACTTAATGCCATTGCCACATGGACAAAACAACAACGGACAATGCCACGTCAGATGCCAAATGGACGCCATGTCATCCTTTTTTTTAGTCCTATATAAATAAAGTGAATGAATTGGTAAATGACAACTGTCTGGATAAAGTGCTGTATCTTTCTTTTCTAGTCTGAATAAATAAACCCTCGAACGAGAGACTAAATGACTATCTTACCCTTACACTCCAACAAATAAATTTCACAGTTTTTATTATTATTTTTTATATTGTTTCCTTGATATACAACAGTTATGCCTGCAATGGTGACAATTTTTGACAAAAGGTGCAATCCTCTAATGGAGCTTGGAACAGGCCCTTACAATACCATTCGCTGGAACCCAAAGGGAAAGTGTATCCTTTAAAAAAATTTACTTTTTGAATTTTTTTCATAAGAAAAAAAAAAGACCGTTTTGCCCTTAATCATTTCTTCTCTAGTTATATGTGTTGCAGGCTATGGTAACCTGCCAGGTGACATGGTATGTTTATATCTTCTTTCCCCATTATCACAATTTTTTTTAGTGTTTTGTTTTGAATTACAATTGAAGGGTATTTTAGACATTTGAGTAATAATATAATATTGTTCAGGCTTTCTGGGACTATGTTGAGAAAAAGCAACTTGGAGCCACTAAAGCTGAATGGTCAGTAACAAGCGAATGGTCTCCTGATGGACTTTATTTCATGACTGCTACAACAGCTCCAAGAAGACAAATTGACAATGGGTATTATTATTATTATTATTTTATAACATTATGTATAATTAAAAAAAATTCAATTTGCTAATAGTTTTTTTTTATTGTTGTAGGATTAAAATCTTTCATTACAATGGATCGTTATGCTTCAAAAAGAAGTTTGAGAAATTGTATCAGATTGATTGGAAAGCAGATTCACCTGACAAATTTGGTGAAATTGAAGAACTTGTTAAATCTATTACCTCATTAAAAGTAGACAACAAAACACAAGGATCAAAACCTGTGAAACCAATATCCACAAATCCACCTGTTTTAAAGAAACCTTCTGCATATCAACCACCTCACGCAAAGGTGGCAGCTGCTAAACAGGCACAGGTGGAACACCATATATTTTGGAATTTAAATTTATTGGGATTTTTTTTTATTTTTTAATTTTTTGGTGGATTTTTGACATGGGTTATTTGGGTAATTGTTAATGCAGCTTTTTGGGGAAAGCCCAAGCCCTTCAACGTAAGTACATGTAATAGATTTGTTTTTTTACGTATATAATGTTTTATATTTGTAATGATGTTTTTGTTATTTGTATGATTTATGAAGGGAAATGAGCAAGAATGCATTGAAAAACAAGAAAAAGAGGGAGAAACAAAGGGAGAAGAAGGCTGCTGAAGCTGGTTCGGGTTAAATTATGAGGTTAGTAAATCTTGTTTTCTTGGGGCATTTTGGACATTTTGAACAATATAGGGACCGAATTTTGGCATAATCTCATTACTCATACTTGTCAACATGTACTGATATATTTATATATGATTATTTAAGTCTTATATGTTCTTATTAATTAGAGAAACTTGGTTTGGACTTTGGAAACTTTTGAACACATGACAACTTTATCTAAATTGCATTATATGATTGAGATGCTCTTAGTAATCAGGTGTTAATTGGGCCTCTTTCCCAAAAAAAAAAACACCATGGGTTTGATATTAAGTAAGTCCATGTGATAAAAAAAAAAAAAAAAAGAATTTTTGTCTCATTTCTTGTCACTGGTAGTTGTAAAAACGAGAGAAGAATTTCTCATCTTTTTTTGTTTTGGCAAGTAACACCAAAACAAAGGAATTAATTCCTTTGAAAGATATATAATACTAAAACACCTTTTGTGGTTATCGTTTCTTCCGTTTAAAGCTTCCAGAGAGAAATCAAGAGAAATAGATAATCTCTTTTTTGTTCTTGCTGCTTGTCGATAAAAAGCTTGTATACTTCAAGTCTGTTGTATATGATATGTGCCGGTTTTGACAAACAAATGTTGTCAAAAGTTCTTAGGGCATCCCAAATGCCATTTTTTTCCTCAATTTTCTCCCCATTATTCTCCAATCATACCCCATTTCTCCCCCCATATTTGGAGATATGGATAGTATTACCCCATATATATATGGAGTAACACTATTCATTTCTTCAAATATGGGGATAAAGTTTTAACTGTTGGGTTTAATCCTTTATATATTTATATATTTTTAGTTTATTTTATCTATTAATTTTAATTTAAATATAATATTTAATATTTATACTATTTTGTTATGTAATAAATTATATTAATTAATCATAAATATAAAATTTATTTTTATTTATCAAATTCATATAAAAGTTTAAATACATATTAAAATTATGAAACACGATAACATATTTACAAAAACATGTATAATATTTGTTTTTATAAATGCATGTATAATATTTATTTATAAGTGTATTATAAATATAATCTTGTTTATTTAATATTATTGTATAGATTATATATTTGTTAAAACTAAATTAGTAGAAGGGGTGTGTTTGACAATCTATGTAAGTTGAAGAATGAAATATACTAGGAATATATTTTTTAGGGTAAAAACTTGGGTAAAAAATAGAGTATGGTTGGAGAAGAAACACTATTTACCTCATTTTTACTCCATTTTTGGGGGAAAAAATTTGAAGTGAGTTAGAGATGGTCTTAGGTTGGAGGGAGTCTTTCCCATCGTGTCAGTATGCGGGGGGGTATTATAGCAAAAAAAATATGTGGTCCATATTTGTTCACGTGTTCTCAATTATATAATTGTTCTCATTTGAACATAACTTTTGTATCGTCAAATCGTTTTTTTAGCCTAGATATGGCCTAGACACACCATTTGGAAAATCTAAATACTGATGTTTTTGGTGTTGAAAAATGATGAGCTGATTATGAGTTTGCAAGTTCTCACAAATCTTTTGGTTCTCAAAAGAACATATCTCTCTCTCTCTCTCTCTCTCTCTATATATATATATATATATATATATATATATATATATATATATATATATATAGCCGTTGGGAATAAAAAGAAAGAAAACATTTTGCAACATGGTCCAATTAGATGCGGAGGCAGAGGGCGGTGAAAGGCTAAACCACACCTAAGGTGTGGTGTTCCTAGGTGTGGTTCCGGCTACCACATGAGAATTGCTCTGGTATACTATACCGTCCGGCCTAATAAAACCTTCATCTGATAGGTTACTTTGTACCAAAATTTATAGTACTTAAGAAAGACTTCCTAATAAAATATGAAAAATTAACAAAGAAAAAATGAAATTAAAACCCTAATAAAGTTTCGGTTGATCTTAATTCTATACATGGTTCAAGTCTTTTAACACATTTAAAATATTATTAGTCTCCCACGTAAATACTAAGGCACGTTTATTCTGGACCACTGTGAGATGGTGAATTAGTTTTTTTTTTTTTGACAACTTTATTCAGTCACTTATTGTTTAATATTAGTGAAAGGAACGAAGCATCAAATACTCCACAGCACTTGAAAAGCCCCACCCAAGCCACTATATCATGGGTTACCTACAAAAGCATTGAACATTTGTGACGTACGACGTATCTTAGTCTATTAATCAAAAGTTTATTCTTTTTCAAATAGAAAAGAAAAATGAATTAAATCTTCCACCATCTTATCATTTTGTTGTAAAAGAAAAGACAAGTAGTTTTATATATTTAGTTGGCAAAAGCCTATTTTTTTTGTTAGGTAAAACTATAGTTTCCAGAAACATTTCATTTTTTACCTATTATCCGGTAATCAACTGGTTAATCCTTTTTTTTTTTGAAAATAAAAGGTTTTCTAAAAACTTATGGTATTCAAGATCATTAACTATTAATAATATTCATAAATAATAATAAGACACTTTTGGGTTGACCTCATGACACAATTAACAATAAGAAAATAGAAAAAAAAGTTGTTAATTTATTATGAATTAATAAATTAATTAGAAACTATTTTGGAATTAATTAAATAGTTTTAATTAATCAAAAGGCTTGAATATTAATTAATTCCTAGACATTAATTGGAATATTGTAGAAGCCTCTTAAAAAAGGAAGTGAACGAAATTAGGATAAATATCATAAGACAAGACAAATTTTGATGATGATAAGTATTATCCTTGAGAATCTGATCAACTTAATGATTTTAGCTGATGCCTATAGATAGAGGCATAGGGATTAAACCTTAGATGATCTTTCCCTTCAAAATTCCGTTATACTTTTTTATGACTTTCTCCATATTTTGACTTATCCATCTTTAAGGTTTTCCTTGTTTGCTTCTTGGAGTCTTTGGTTTGACTACATTAGAGGGATTCTCTTTTGGGTTCTTCATCCTTTGCAAGATTTGTCAATAATGATAAGGATTATCCTTGAGAATATGATCAACTTAAGGATTCTACCTGATGCCTATAGATAGAGGCATACTGATTAAACCCTAGATAATCTTTCCCTTCAAATTTTCGTTCTACCCTTTTATGACTCCCTTCATATTTTGAAATTTATATCCCCTCCCTTGGGATATAGAAATTTCGACTTATCCATTTTTAAGGTTTTCCTTGCTTGCTACTTGAAGTCTTGGGTCTGACTACGTTAGAATGATTCTCTTTAGGTCCTTCATCCTTTGCAAGATTTGTCAATTACATGGTCTAAAGATCAAGAGGTTAGTGTTCTTACCTTTCTTTAGTTCGATTTTAAAGTAGGTTGCTATAATTAGTAAAACCTAGATCCTAGGGTACATGTACACATATGTATTTGTTTTGTTTCCGCTGCCTTGGTCGTGTATATAGATATATAGAAATACAACAGTGGTATCAGAGCCTAATTGGTTTTAGTTATTTGTACTACTTAAAATAAAAAAATCATGAAACCCGCTAGACGTACCCGCGACGCGCCCCTGCTGAACACGATGCGTCAAGCTAAGTTTATAAGATTTTGGATTTTGTCTGTTTTTCGAAAACTTAGGGATAACCTCTTGATTAAAATATTATTTTAATTTTTTAAATTTGAATATTCAAATTTAGGATTAATTTGAAATATTATTTAATAAGAAATTAAATTTGAATATTTAATTAATTAAATTTGAATATTATACAAAAATTAAATTTAAAATTTGAATATTTATCTTTGAATATTATTTAATAAGAGAAGTAAATTAGAATATTTAAATAGAAAAGAATATAAATTTGAAATGTTTAAATTTAGTATATGGTATGATTACTATATGTATAACAATCGTACAACATGTGTTCTCACATGCTTAGTTAAAACATTATCGTTGAATCAAAACTCGGCGCACCCACTATAATACTATAAGAGAGGTTTAAGAAAGTCTTTTTGATTCCGAATGAGTTCGGTTTTCAAAAACATCATTGCTTACCATCCTTACCGCCTTTTTGTATTTTGAGAGTGGAGTTATCGAAAGGGTTCGATTGGATTTTGTTTAGTCTATGGTCTTATGATTCAAAACTTGTTTATACAAAATCTCATAAGATTGTTATGACTTATTTAGAACGTCTTTAACATGTTTAAAAGAAAGCAATGAAATCTATGAAACTAGTATAGTAACAATGGTCTAAAAGGTTGATTCAAATCTTTGAATGATATTTACTAATGTGGAATCATTTTCTTGTCATTAAGAATTACATTACCAAAGATCCAGTTGGATAGGATTTTGGAATTCATTTCATCGCGAGTCTTGTGATAAATGCAAACCTTATTTGTCAAGATAAATGAATATATGTTGGAATTAGTTTTAGCTGATGGTCCGTTCAGATTTCCACAATACATATTGATTCAAATACATCCAAAAATTTGGATAAAATGTATTTATGGATTCATTGCCTTAAAAACAATAAATACATTACCAAGTGTCTAGTTGGATTGAATTTTAGATATCATTTGACCGCAAGTCTTATAATGTAACACCCATAAAAATCACAAAAATTTTAAACTTTTAAAAATCAACCCAACTTCATAAATTGTTTACAAAACATAGTTTTCAAAGTATTTTCCAAAACATCAGAGTCTCCCAAATCATAAGTCATAAACAAGAGGATGTGTACGGTCACGCCTTCACCTTCCCGCGATCATCCGAAGTACCTGAAACCATGAATTAAAAACTATAAGCCAATGCTTAGTGAGTTCCCCCAAAGTACCAGCACACAAACAAATAACATATACATATATAACAACATGTCGGGTCCAATCAACCATCGGGTTGGAATACCCCAGGCCCAATCAATCATCGGGTTATAATGCCCCAGGCCCAATCAACCTCCGGGTCCAGTTATCCTCAGGATGGAATACCCCAGGTTGGAATGCCAATGTACAACGGGTCCAGTCATCCTCAGGATGGAATACCCTCGGGCCCAGTCAACCATCGGGTTGGAATGCCCCCGGTCTGCTGGCTCACGCACAAAGCAGTAAAACCTCAACCATCAACCAAATATGTGCACATATAACAGATAAGATATAATTAGTCAACAGACAATCAAGCAGATCTACAGATCG